TTAAACTATTGATATCCACTTCACCCTTAGGACCAAGGACTAGAATGCAGCTGTGCAGCGACCCCAAAAGATAAATTGAACCCAAACAACCTTCCATCATTTATTGACCACCTATTGACCCCATTTATTGATCCTTCTTTGACCTCTAGCCATTTGACAGTTGAGAGTCGATATTGACCACTTTGAGGAACCCAGCAATAGTTTAATGGATTGCAGATGATGGATTAAGTTCCTGATTTTCTTGTGTTTGCTTTTATTATTTTTGTGACTTGCCCATACTGTAGTTGTTTGTTTGTTTTTACAAGATGAGTGGCCGCATAAATCTTATAAACAAATTGACAAACCAATAGCCGTTCAGATTAGGAATTGTAGGAGTTGTAATCCAGATATCTGAATGGCACTGGATAGGAAAAAAACCTATAATTGTTTATAAACACTAATTTGTTTATTTATAAACATTACTACAATAAAATTCCCCTCTCTCACTTCAATACTATAGTTCTACACCAGAAGCTGAGAAGATAGAAGAAATGGTAATTGGCTCCGATTTAACACAATGACTAACATCAAAGCTAATCCTGTGGGTGACAGGGACAGGCATCTGGAGTTGCAGGGATAGGAATGATTGGGGGTGGGAGGCACCCAACATTTCTTAAAAGTACTGTATAGGACAGGGGTAGGCAACCTTGGCTTTTCTGACTCCTGGACTTCAACTCCTGGCTCAGGAATTCTGGGAGTTGAAGTCCACGAGTCATAAAAGAGCCAAGGTTGCCTACCCCTGGTATAGGGTAACTACTTGGAAATAAGAATTGAAGGTTTCCAAATAGTAAAGGATTACAACTCACTCTATTGGTTCAGCCAAGTTTTAACAGCCTCATTGCAATGTGTTTCTATGGGGCCCACCCTAAACTTGGAACCTCGTAGAGCCGGGTAAAAATCAGCTGTCCTGCTCGTAACCGTTTCCACACAGATTATTCAGCTCTCACTCGATTTACTCAAACCGCACCCTCTTACAAAAAGCCAGTTTTTCTAAGCCACGGGTGGCTCACCCGCTCACGCGGCCCAGGTGGGGTTGAGGAACTGGAGCGCAGTCTCGCTTTAAGAAAAACATCAGCCTAACTAAATGTCAGCGTTGTAGACTGCTGCTGCATTCTCAATGCAAGAATCCAAATGAAAGCATCGTCCCAGACAGATGGCAAGGGGCAGCATCTCGTGGACCTGGCTAATCTCAAAAAGCTAACTAATCAAAGTTGCAGGGATGGCAAGTTCATGGACTAGAGACCATCAAGAAATACCAAGGCTCTTGGAAGCTAGAAAAACACTGGAGAAGAAGCAGCAAACTATTGTCATCTTGTTGACAAGAAAATGCAACGTTTAGACCCATTCAATCATCAGGCTCAAGTTCCACCCGGGTTCTTACTGCTGTGGCAAATGGCTATGCAGCCTTTATTTGAAGACATAAAGTGAAGGAAGGAGCACTTGTGTGCTCCTTGATAATGGTGCCATTAATGAACCGCTATTACTGTTTGAATATTAGGAATAGATTTCTAGCTGGCTTCTTGTAACTTAAAAGATGATTATCTCGTGTCCTGGAAGGATAGTGAACCAATCTAAATTACGAAACCCTAATTATGGGGAGATGGGTACATAATAGTTATTAAGTTACACTTTCTTCCAAACTTTCAACACTTTCTTCTATGTTGAAAATGACAATTTCAACTGAAACTATTTGTGCTGTTGGTCTCATGGAATACAAAGGCTTATGAATGCTGGGAGTAGGATATAACTTCAGAAATATTTCCAGTGTTATAAATAATCAGAAGTCTGACTCTAAAGAATAAAATGCAAATTGAAATATATATCTAGATTTCCAATGTGGAACTGCAATAGATAACATTGACAAACAACTAATCCAGTGATGGCGAACCTTTTAGAGACTGAGTGCCCAAACTGCAACCCAAAACCAATTTATGCATCGTCGAGTGCCGAGTGGGTGTGGCCCATTGGGTGGCCGTGGCTGCGGTGGTAGCGGCAGACTGGGTGGGACTAAAAAGTTCAATCAATCAATTCCAACTTTGCAAGATCTTTTTTTTCCCCGTGAGAAGTTTATATTGATTGATTGAACCTATTTTTTTTGCACATGGCAGAAGAGGCCTAAAGCGAAAAGGTTTTATAAAAAACAAGCTGAAGGCCTAGGACTGGGGCGACGGTGCACGTGCCCACAGAGAGGGCTAGGGGTGCCGCCTCTGGCACCCGTGCCATAGGTTCGCCACCACTGAACTAATCTGATATCTTTCTTTTTTTATAAGAATAATGAGTATAAAAGTTACTTTCATTCTAGTTGTGATTAATGTGAATAAATGAAGAAAGATGAAGTCAGCAGCATTCAAGGAAGTAAAATGACAGATGTTTTGAATTTGAAAATTCAAATAACAGCCTATGAGGGATCAGATAAAAAATATTTTTAAATTTTTTTTGCTCCAGTTTAACAACAAGCCCCGTTGTTGTTTATATTTATCATTGGATATATTAAGCAAGCATAAAATGATGCTTGTGAATCGTATTCCAGAGCAGTCTTGACCACAATAGACATCCTAAAATATTGGTTATACAGGATGCTTCCAAAGGCATACAATACCTATCACTATTAATACAAGAAAGCCACATTTCTTCTATTTAAGAAAAAGAAAAAAGATGCCTAGACCCTTTAAAGCTAATAGTTGAGTCAGCAGCTGTATTTTAATAACATTATTTGAAAACATACTGGAATCTATTTCCTTCAACAATGTACCACTGAAATGCATTTAGCTGATAAACTATTAACTATTGTTACCAACTGCATATCTGTTAAAAGCAAAGTACGTTTTGGCATTTCATTGTAACTTTTTCCTAGATAGCATACTTAACATGCAATTCCAGTTATAGACTTTAGCCAACATTTTCAGGGTGGATTAAACGAGACAAACAGGTAGCATTACAAGCAACAGTTCATACAATAGCAGAAACGTGCTATCCTTACCTCAGAATCACCTTGAATATAGTAGCCAATTGAATGGGAAACCTAATTTCCTATACCGAATCTATCTACTATTGCTATTATTGCTGTTATGTTTATTACTATTAAACATACATCTTCCTGGACTCTGCAAGAGAAAATACCCCACTGAGAAACTGTAGAATCAAAACACAGAAAGTGGAGCTTTGGATCTCAAAACAATCACTGCTGTGTCTCTCGAACTTAACAAGCAGAGTGGCAGCCAATGAAAAGCCACAGGAGGTAAAGCGAAGAAGCAGAAGATTCCCTCTTCCGGGGTAATGTGTAACTCAGATAAGGGTGGAGCTCCACCTTTCCATTACTCTGACATTTGAACTGCTTTGACACATAAAGGAGCACCAGCAGCACTGGCAAAGTCTCATCCTATACTTTCAGCAGTAGGACATATGCACTGTATAAAGGGTGCAATTTTGCCCCTCATGGGGCTACTTGAATCCCTTCACTTTAAGCAATCTACCTGGATGTGATTTATTGCTGCAAGCGACAGAGATGAATACAATCACTCTATGTTCGCGTAGGGCAGGGGTGTCAAACTCGCAACATGTCGTGACGTATCGTGACTTTTTTTCTATTGCCGGCAATGGGGTGGGTGCGGTTTCGGCATGACGCATTTGGCCCGCGGGCCGGCAGTTTGACACTCCTGGCGTAGGGTAATACACTGAACTATTGTTGACTCAATTACCCGGAATTGTCAAGCCTAACTATATAGGGTAGTCCTTGAGTTACGACCACAATTGAGCCCAAAATGTATGCTGCTAAGTGAAACATTTGTTAAGTGAGTTTTGCCCCGTTTTACAACCTTTCTTGCTACAGTTGTTAAATGAATCACTGCAGTTTTTAGTAACACGGTTGTTAAGTGAATCTGTCTTCCCCATTGACTTTGCTTGTCAGAAGGTTGCAAAAGGGGATCACAGGACTCCAGGACACTGCAACCATCATAAATATGAACCAGCTGCAAAGCATCCAAATTTTGATCATGTGACCAAGGGGGTGCTACAACAGACCTAAGTGTGAAAATCGATCACAAGTCACTTTTTTCAGTGCCACTGTATCTTTGAACGGTCAGTAAATGAACTGTTGTAAGTCAAGGACTACCTGTGCTTGCTGGGTTCCCACAACACCTTGAACTATAAACCCATTTAAGTACAGCATATTCTGTAAACCCAGCCAGAGGGTCCACTATCATCCTACCGGATCGACATTAATATTTTTCAGCAATACAGATCCAACTTCTTAATTGATCTAAGTCAGAAGTAGGAACCCACTACATACTTTTTCTACAGATATCTTCAGTGCTCCATTTCAGCTTTCCCTTAATGGTCCAAATCCATCTGATTCGACCCCAGAGAATTCTGTGGCTGAATTTGCACACTCTAGTTTACCTCTAGAGGTACCCATGGTTTACTCTATCCAGTTTCTCAGAACTTTAACTAGAATTGGGTGCATAACACATGCCAGCAAATTTAACAGGTGCTTGACTAACCGGCAGTCCTGTATGATTTGCAACACAGCCAAAAAGATTTATTTACAATACTTCCAAATAGTCTGTAAACATGGACGCAGTGAACTATCTCCTCCCCAGTTGCCTTTTGAAGAAAGAAAACACCTTTGAGACAAAGTAAGACCTGGATAAACTGAGAATCTCCATAGACCGTTCTCCCCAGTAAATATAATGCGGGTGCCATAACTCTGCCATCAAATTAACTAACCAAACCAAACCTTAAACATATTTTAGGCTTATCAATATAATTTAGTCTTTTTAGGCAATGATTCCAAAGCTATTAAAACAGAATTTAAGCGCCAAAGAAGTAATTAACACTCGTTCCCTAATAAATGGCTGCTGAATATTATATATTGTATATTGTTCAGGAGGGAGAAGCCCCATTAGGACTTTCTCTCCAATAATCTCTGCCCTGACGCCCGTGCACAGATATACCCAACTTACCAAGCTCTCCATTTGTGCTTTTAGCTCCTGCTTTCGCTGCAGCGGGAGAAGCAACTCGATCCCGACGTCCTCCCGTCTTCTACTGCGATTCCCGCCTCCTAAACTTGAAATGGCGCGCAAATGAGCTTTAGCTCTTTAAAGGGGCAATGCCGACAAAGGCACTGACTTAAAAGTTGCTCATTGCTGAGACAAGCCCATCGAAATAATCGCCTTCCTTGCCCGGGAAGATCCTATAAGCTTGCGGATGCGCCCGACTGTCTGACTGTGCTGCACCCCCCCCCCCAAGCCTTGCTGAATAAATCGCAATTCGCCATGGTCACACAGCACATTAAACCATAGTTTTATAAAACAGAACAATTGCATTCATCGGAAGCGCTGAAATCACAAGCAGAATTGCGGTATGGAGTGTTTATTAGGTTCAAGGTACAAGGCCTTCTAAGAATCCAGGGATTTGAATTAATTCCGTTGTATTTGTTTGCCCATCCGATTCATTCTTTTTATGGTTTAATTCGCCCACGTGGCGGCAGTTTTTAGCTGCACGTTCCGGATTATTGTTGTAATCCCTGACGCCCTTAAGAATACGACAAAATGACTGCCATGTTGCTGATGGAATTTTTTGACCCCACTTTGGCTATGGCATCGCCCTTTTAAGCGAAAGCTACCCTCAAGGAGCTCAGTGGGTGGAGCAAACTAAGACCGGGAAGTTCATATACATACAGTATTCCAAGCAGTGAAGCCCCCCTCCGCTGGTCGTTCTTGCATTACAAGGCTTGCTTATTTTGCATATTGTATTACAATACTTGCTTATTTTTTACACTAGCAACATATCAGTCAGACACCGGGTTTTAAGTAGGTTGTACCCGAGACACTTAACACCCATCAAATCACGTCATAGTGCAAAGCAGCAGAGAGACTTGCTTGGCCCTAGGCCAGGGCTAGGCAACCTCGGCTCTTTTATGACTCGTGGACTTCAACTCCCAGAATTCCTGAGCCAGCTTGGCTGGCTCAGGAATTCTGGGAGTTGAAGTCCACGAGTCATAAAAGAGCCGAGGTTGCCTAGCCCTGCCCTAGGCTGAATAGAACAGTATTTGATTATTGCAGGGATTTGTAAGAATCAGAAGTTCTGGAAAAAATCCTTGCGCTGAGTTTACTACCGAGAAGCCTTCTGGTTTCCCAAGGCAGAAGTACAGTTTCCCTTTAATAACGTTTAGTGGGCGGTACCGCAGCGAGGCCCCCAGATCAGAGAGGACTGCTGGGAGACGGCAAGTCCTTGGCTTTTTTTGTGGCTGAATAGAAATGATCTTTCGGAGTCAGAAAAAGCGGTAGAACAACAAAGGAAAGTAGGCCTGTAAACTCTCCTATGTTCTATTTAAAAAAAAAAAGTTTTGAGGAAAAAATTCTATTTATTACTTGCAAGGAAAAGAAGTTTAGAAAAGAAAATACGCTTCCGGTTGCACATTGCTCCGCATTATGTGGTCCCTGCCGACGATGACCTTTGCGCTGAATGAGTTTGATGTGTGTTCAGTTCAAAAGCTCTACATACCGGTTGATAAGATCAACAGGTGATTTGTGTTTTTTTTTCTTTATAGGAGTTGATGTAATATTGCCCGATCTTCTAATAAAATCATGGAATTCCAACATTTCTTTTGTTACTCCTTTCATTTATTAAATTTATGCCCCTTCTTTCTTCCAGAAACTCAATGACATCTTATATAGTATGTAATTCTGCAACACCAATCCAGTGAGATAGATTGGGCTGACAGTGATCTGAAATTGCCCCTTAGATAGGGATATTCACATGCAGGTCTCATCCATACACTATTCTATATTCATACCTATATGCTGACTCTTGGCAACTGCCTGAACAACTCCCTGCAGTTCTCATGGCAAGATTTGTGAAATAATTAGAATAACAGAGTTGGAAGGGACCTTGTAGGTCATCTAGCCCAGGGGTCCCCAACCCTTGGTCCGTGGACTGGTACCAGACCGCGGCATACCAGCAACCGGTCGGCACAAACAAGCAAAGCCCCATCTGTGGGATGCAGGCAGCACACAAAACCACGTCTGCGGAAAAGCCTTTCTCCACGGAAACGGTCCCTGGTGCCCAAAAGGTTGGGGACCTCTGATCTAATCCAAGTAGGAGACCCTACACCATTTCTGACAGCTGGCAGTCCAGTCTCTTCTTGAAAGCTTCCAGTGATGAAACTCCCACAACATCTGAAGGCAAACTGTTCCATTGGTTGATTGTTTTGTCAGAAAATTTATCCTTATTTCTAGGCTGAATCTCTCCTTGATCAGTTTCCATCCGTTATTCCTTGTCTGGCCTTCAGGTGCTTTGGAAAATAGGTTGACCCCCCCCCTCCTCTTTGTGACAGCCCCTCAGATATTGGAACACTGCTATCACATCTATCCTGGTCCTTCTCTTCATGGACTAGCCATGCCCAGTTCCTGCAATCATTTTTCGTATGTTTTAGCCTCCAGTCCCCTAATCATCTTTCTTGCTCTTCTCTGCACTTTTTCTAGAGTTTCAACAACTTTTTTATAGTGCGGAGAACAAAATTGGTTGCAGTATTCTAGGTGTGGTCTTACTAAGGCTTTTATAGAGTGGTATTGGTACCTCACGTGATCTCTCTGTTAATGCAATTTAGGATTGCATTGGCTTTTTTGGCTGCTGCTGCACACTATTGGCTCATATTTAATTGATTGTCCACTAAGACTCAAAGATCCCACACACAGTTACTGCTATTAAGCCAGGTTTCACCCAATCTATATGTGTACTTCTGGTTTCTCTCGCCTAAGTGTAAGACTTTATTTTTCCCTACATTGAATTTCATTTTGTTAGATAGGGCCCAGTGTTCAAGTCTGTCAAGATCCATCTGGATCTTGAGCCTATCATCTAGGGCAGTGACGGCAAACCTTTTAGAGACCGAGTGCCCAAACTGCAACCCAAAACCCACTTATATATCATCGGGTGCTAGGTGGGCATGGCCCATTGGGTGGGTGTGGCCCATTGGGTGGGCGTGGCTGCGGTGGTAACGGCAGTTTGGGTGGGACTAAAAAGTTCAATCAATCAATTCCAACTTTGTGAGATCTTTTTTTTTCCCGCAAGAAGGTGAAATTGATTGAACCTTTTTTTTTTTGCACATGGCCGCGGAGGCCTAAAGCGAAAAGGTTTTATAAAACCCAGCTGAAGGCCTAGGACTGGGGCGATGGCGTGCGTGCCCACAGAGAGGGCTCTGTGTGCCACCTGTGGCACGTGTGCCATAGGTTCACCACCACAGATCTAGGGTGTTGGCTGTTACTGCTAGCTTAGTATCATCTGCAAATTTGATAAGTTCCCCTTCTATTCCCTCATATAAGTCATTTATGAAGATGTTGAAGAGTACTGGGCCTAGGACAGAACCTTGTGGTACCCCACTGCTTACTTCCCTCCATGTAGATGTAGTACCATTAAGGATTACTTGTTGAGTATTGTTTGTCAGCCAGTTACAAATCCATCTGATGGTGATGCTGTCTATCCCACTTTTTTTTTTTTTAGCTTTTTTTAGGTTTCCAAGAAGTGTGGTCTACTTTGTTGCATACCTTGCTGAAATCTTAAGCATACAATGTCCCCAGTATTTTGCTGGTCTACTAATTTAGTTACTTGGTCAAAGAATGAAATAAGATTGGTCTGGCATGATCTGTTTTTTTCACGAACTCGTGCTGGCTTCTAGTTATAACTTTGTTTCTAGATGTTCGCAGATCTGTTTTTTGATTATCTTTTCCAGTATCTTCCCAGGTATTGATGTTAGGCTGATTGGTCTGTAGTTTCCTGGGTCTGTTTTTTTCCCCTCCTTTTTTGAAGATGGGAACCACATCAGCTCTTTTCCAATCCTCTGGTCGTTCCCCAGTGCTCCAGGATTTTTGAAAGATATGGCACAGTGGTTCTGAGATGACATCTGCTAGCTCCTTTAGAACTCTGGGATGTAAGGTTTTATATTATTATTTTTATTTTATTTTAACTTTATTATTATTATTAACTTCATTATTATTTTTATTTTAACTTTTATTTCTAGTCTATTTTTTTCAGCTATGTTTTTGGTAGATTGGGTTATTTCTTTTTGTGTGAAGATAGATGCAAAGAATGAGTTAAGCAGCTCTGCTTTCTCTCTGCTGCCTATTATTTCCTTGCCGTCTTCTTTCTTTTGTGGACCAACTGTTTCCTTGATTTTTTTCTTGTTATTTATATGTTGAAAGAAACATTTTTTAATTATTTTTGACATTTGTTGAAAGTCTTTTGTTCATTCTGAGCCTTTGCTTTCCTGACTTCTTTTTTGCAGATTCTGGCTATCTGCTGATATTCACCTTAGTTATATGTCCCTCTTTCCATTTTTTGTACTTGTCCTTTTTGTCTTTGAGTTTATTAGAGAGATCTTTGTGCAGCCATACTGGTTTCTTCTTGGATTTCTTGTTTTTCTTTTTCAGTGGTATTGTGTTGGATTGGGCTTTTATGATCATATTTTTCAGTTTCCCAAGCTTCTTGAGTTGTTTTCCCCTTCAGGATTTTCATCCAAGGAATCTTTCCCAAGTTCTCTCAGAGTTTGTTGATGTCATTCTTTTTTTCTTTTATATTGACCCATATGCATTCTAGGAGGTTTTTGTCTTTGGTCTCCTGCATTTCTGTAGCAGTATAGTCTTTTACATATAGTGCAACTCCACCTCCTCTTTTATGGGGTCTAGGTTTTTTGAACAGTTCATATCCTCCTATTAGTATGTTCCACTCATGGGTTTCATCTCACCAAGTTTCGGTAATTCCAATTATGTCATATCTACCTTCATGTATTAATAATTCTAGTTCACCCTGTTGTTCCCCAAACTTTGTGCATTTGTATATAGGCATTTGAGATCTTTATGTCTGAGGCTGGGTATGCTTCCTCTGTCTATTTGTTGTTTGAGTTTGTCTTCCTTCCCATCCCTCCTTACCTCATTATTTGATTTGTTTTGGTTTTTGCTTGTAAATAGGTCCTGGAGATCCTAAAGATTGGTCACCCTCCC